TATAAAGTTATGTATTAAGATTAAGTGTACTGTCTTTAATACAACACATCGCCAATAATGAACCCAACGTCGTGCTTATTTTTGTACTTATAAATATGTAATTCATTAGATTTTTACTAGCTTTTTCCGGTTTAAAAATGAATGCTTCAGATTCAGTAGCAAATGTAAGGATTAATTGTTAAGACAACAAATTGCTGCTCTTCTATGAAATGAAATCACCCAAGCCATTGCAACAATCACCAAAACCTTTAATTTCTCGAGCATGCGTACTTCATACATCTATGACAGAATTCATAAATTTGCATACCAATTACGGGAATTCCACCGGCAATGGGCGGCATTCCTTGTACTATCATCAGATGGAAGAATATCAACGATAATAAATTAGTGATGCAGAGAGTAATCTTCTCTCCTGACTCAGCTGGCAGACAAAAACCAACCAAAGTGGAAGCCGAGATCAGTAAATTTGGAAAAAGATAATTAAATCCGTAAAACATAGGGTGTCTGTGAAAAAATAAAATGAACGTGACGTCAGAGAATGGTGCATCCGGGCAACAACCGTAGTACACCTCGTGTTCCTCTGCAAGTGTGTCAGCCAAATCCCATTCCATATTGTTGGCGTAGTCGTTAAGGTCCACGTGACCCAGGTCACTAACCATTTGTACCATTCGTGTATCATAAGCCCAGGGACCAAATTTCAAATAGCATGTCTGTTCGTCGAACGGGTAGTAGTATACGTCCATAAGACAAGAAGCTTTAACTCTAGCGGGCGCCATCCAGAATACGGATCCATTCGAACTGACGATGACGTTATTTTCATCCATACTTAATACCTCCTCTACGATACTATACGAAACACTGGAAAAATAAGCGTTAATAACATGAGTTACGACAATGGTCAAGTATGATGATCGTCTCATGCATTTTTACGAGCTAGCCATTTCAGACGTTATTTTTGGCGTCTTTTGCGTAATTCTGTAATTCTCATGCTTCTTTTTTGAACCCAAATCACGCTTCATTAGGCACTATGTCCGTTGAGCAAAATTATGTTTGTCGATTTCAGTTGACGTTTGGGACCTACTTTCAAACACGGAAAACCTTGGTATATCAGGTATTTAGACCTAGCTAATATTAAAACTACTTCCCAGCCAATCAAAATCGTGCATTCACATGCTTACACACAGACTGCTGAACTATAATTATGAATATTCATTGGAAGCGAGTTATTGAATTTAATATACGAGACTAGATTATTACGTGCCATGTCAACTATGTGTGAGAGTGCGTGCAAAGTTTATTACTAACCGTGGTGTATGTCATTTACAGACGAGACGTTTAGTGTGAAAGATCACTGGTATTTCTATCATAATGACGTTTGCCATGTGATTATAGAAAGGTTATCGCCTTACATAAACTTATTTCGTAGAGCCGGCTGATATTTGTGACGTCGTCATTGGCTGTACTGTGATGTCGGTCAATGACTCCTAGTATCTGACAGCATTATAGCCATTGTTGAATTCTGACACAGCTGACAGCGATTTCAATTTATAAATTAATCATTGATTTGACGATGTGTTTAATTCTATTCTGTGACATTTTAAGAATTAATCTTGTAATGATTATATTTATATTAAAGCAGGAGGGTCGTCACCTGCGCACGCGCGAGAATTGAGTCCCAAGCGACGA